TTTTTTTTTTTTTTACTCTAAAAATTCGAACAAAAATAAAAATAAAACAAAGAGAAATTCGGCCCCTCAACAAAAGGTATTAACCGAAAAAATCAAACAAAGGACTAACAAGATGACACTTTTTTTTAAGACTTATGAAAAATTGAAAAATTCGAATAAATTCAAAAATTTCGAACAAAAAAGAACAAAAATTCGGCCCCTCAGCAAAAGGCAAACCGAAAAAAAAGAAAAAGATAGGATAGATAAACACACGATCAGCCTCTCTCAACGAAAGCACCAATGATGACGGATCGTGTTGTTATCTATACTTGGGTTGTGAATAAACGCGCACTAGGGCCTTCGTTTATCCACGATAGGTGTATCTAACAGACGCACTATCGGCCTTCTCCTAGACACTGTGACTTCAAGACGCTCTAATGGCCTTCTCTCCGACACTGTATGTAAACACGCACTAACGGCCTTGTTTAAACACACGTAAGAACATAAGTTCCCCTCTCAATTGGCTCACCAATTCAATACTCAATTTTAGACATTCAAGACATTCAATTATGATGAAGTACATGGGGTATTTATAGTTGCAAAATAAATCTAAGCCTAACTATACTAGATCTCCTAAACCTTGCAATAATAGAAATCCTAACACTAGAAAGCAATAAAATCCTACTACTACCAAATAACTATTACTTGGCTTGCACACCAAGCAATTCTAGAAGCTCCCTAATTTCCAACTTTCGGCCGCCTCATTGAACGCGTCGCACACGTCATCCGCGCGCCGCCTCCCGCTTGCCTAATCCTAGGCGCCTTAGGATTTGCGCACCCGTATCGCACGCGCGCGCCTGTGCTCGCGCCCAGCCAGCGCCGCCTTTCCCTTCGCGCGTGCGCTCAATTCCCCTCGCATATGCCTACCGCGCATAGGCATGCGCCCGTGTCTTTCCCGCACTCGCGCGCTATCGCGCGCTCCCGTTCCTCGCCGATTCCTTCGCGCGCGTTGTGTCGCGCGCCCGCGTGCCGCTTACTTGCGCGCCGTTGTGTTCACTTACATTTAAAGCTAGGCTTGTTGCGAAAGGTTATACCCAGAAAGAGGGTATCGATTATGATGAGACCTTTTCGCCAGTAGCAATGCTTAAATCCATTCGGATTCTCTTGGCTGTAGCCACTCATATGGATTATGAAGTGTGGCAGATGGATGTTAAGACGGCTTTCCTTAATGGGAACCTTCAGGGAGACATCTATATGCAGCAACCAGAAGGATTCATTTCAAAAGCGCATGAGCACTTAGTTTGTAAGCTTAATCGGTCCATTTATAGACTGAAGCAAGCCTCAAGGTCTTGGAATATTCGGTTTGATGAGGTAATCTAGTCATATGGATTTACTCAATGTCCGGATGAGCACTGTGTATACAAGAAGATTAGTGGAAGCGTGGTGGTGTTTCTTGTGCTATACGTGGATGACATACTTCTTATTGGCAACAACAAGAAGGAGTTGTCGGGCGTAAAGGCGTGGTTCTCTAAGCAGTTTGATATGAAGGACTTGGGTGAAGCAGGACACATTCTTGGTATCAAGATCATTCGTGATCGTGAGAAAAGAATGATGTGCTTATCCCAGTCTTCATATATAGATACTGTCTTGACCAGATTCAGTATGCAGAACTCTAAGAGAGGTACATTACCTTTCAGACATGGAGTACCTTTATCTAAGGAGTTGTCTCCTAAGACGACTGAGGAGATAGAGGACATGAAGACAGTTCCTTATGCTTCGGCAGTAGGAAGTCTCATGTGTGCAATGCTGTGCACTAGGCCTGATATTAGCTACGCCGTTGGCATGGTAGCGAGATATCAGAGTAATCCAGGAAGGGAACATTGGGCTGCGGTGAAACATATACTCAAGTACCTGCGAAGGACTAAGGAGTACATGTTAGTTTACCGTGCAGACAGTTTGTTTCTGCTGGGTTACAGCGATTCTGATTTTCAGTCAGATAGGGACGAGAGTAAGTGAACCTCAGGTTATGTGTTTACCTTGGGAGGTGGAGCCATTTCATGGAGGAGTGCTAAGCAGAAGTTCGTAGCAGACTCCACTATGGAAGCCGAGTACATCGCTGCCTCAGAGGCAGCGAAAGAGGCAGTTTGGCTCAGAAACTTCTTGGTGGACTTAGAAGTGATTCCGAGTTTGCCACGTGTTATTACCGTGTACTGTGATAACAGTGGTGCAGTAGCAAACTCAAGGGAACCACGAGCCCACAGAGCAAGCAAACACATAGAGCGCAAATACCACCTTATCAGAGATATTGTGGCAAGAGGAGAAGTTGAGATCACCAAGATTGCATCAGAAGACAACCTAGCTGATCCTTTACGAAGAGTTTGCCGGAGAAGGTATTCGCCAAACACGTAGAGGGAATGGGAGTCAAATGTATGGTGATAGGATCGACATAGGTCTTTTAGGATACGGATTGATAGGACTATATTAGTAAAGCGGCAGCTTTAAGTATAAGTGGGAGATTGTTGGTGTTATATACTTAAGCTTTGCTTTAGTGGATATTACACTTGTTATTCCTTGATGAATGAGAATTATGTTTGGTTAAATAAGTTCCACGTTCTGTTGTTTTGCATGTAGATAAGTGGGTCGTCATCGGGCGTACCGAAGATCACTATATCAGTTACTTGTGAAACAAGAATCATTGGTTCACAACCTAGATGGAATTGAACAACCCATCGGAACGGTTGTAGTGTCAACCGTACGGTTTGTCTTGACCGATTAGTTGCACTAGTACATTTATGTATTGAACAGGATCCCAGAGAGGGATGTTCGTTTTATACTAATCGTCGTAAACGAACTAGGCCTCAGTTAATTATTGCGTGCTCTTAACCCGTAAGATATTAAATAGGCATGTGCACATAATTGTTGTTGCTTTTATTCTTTGGGTGAGATCCAAGCCGGGTCGACATACTTAATTAATTGGGTCACCATGTGCGTTAGTATGATGATGTTTCCGAAGTGAGTTCATGAAGGAATATTATGCTAAACCCTGCAGGTGGATTTATTCCGGCATAATATGAATGCTATGAGCGAGCGCTAGCTTCGGTAATATAATATATTAATTAATTCTTGATTATTAGTGATCGAATTAATTAATGGACATTATATCTTAAACATGGAGAGGTAAATCGAATAATTATAATAAGGAGTCTCAAATGTAATTTGGGATAGGTGAGGGGAGTGCAATAATATTATTGTGGTGGACTTTAATATTATTAATATATTAATTGTGCGGTTGCTCCACAGTATTAATATATTAGAAGCCCTTATCCTATTCTCCTTAGGGTCCCTACTGTAGCTCTATATATACAGCATTAGGCTCATGGAAGAGAAGAGAACAATCCCATAATCCTTGGGAAACGTCCAGCCCTCTCATTCTCTCTCTTCCAAGGAGTTCTTCTATTTCTTGTGTTCCACTGATACAAGATCTAGAAAGCTGTTTGAGAATACAGTAGAAGATCTTAAGGTATATAGAGATTCCAATCATACATCCAAACCGGAGACCAAAACCAGCAAGTGACCATACCACGACGACCAGGACGACGAGACGAAGAGATCGCCGTCGAGATCGCCGCCGCACGCCGCCGCAAGCGCCGTCACGCGCCGCCAGAAGGAACCAGTCGCTGGAGCTTGCAGACGCGCGTGAGAGCGCGTGACTCCTCCGTTTTCCGACCAGTCAACGCCGTTGACTTCGCCGTGACGTCAGCTTTCTGGATTGGTCAAGTTTGTTCGATTCCGAGAAGATTTGATTTGCGGTCAACTGTCCGGGCCAGCCAGATCTACATAAATTTTAAGCAGTAAGTTTTCTTCATCAAACCTTTAGATCCGCTGCGCATAGGTTTATGTTGAATGTTTGTCCGTGATTTGTGCATATCGAAATCCTCATGGGTTCCAACAAGTCCATGACCTCAAAGATAAACTCTAAGCCCTGAATCCATTCATCAACGATGCGGGGATCTCCCTGCCCTGAGAACTTTTCGGCATGGTAGTCGCGGAACTGAGTGACTACAGTAGCCTGAGTAGGAGCCTGATGATCGGGTTCCCTAAGTGGCGGCATCTGAACATTGAGAAAATTTTTTACATTACTGAATACGTGATAACATTCTGACTGATTACTTAAGCACACAAATCTCTTGACGAGTCGCCAAAAATGGCCGATAAATACTGACGTGAATCCTGAAGAACTCTAGAGTCATATAGGAAGATCCTAATGTCTAGAGTCATGTCTGAAAGTCCTGAATTCTAGAGTCATGTCCGAACTCTAAAGTCTGAACCTGATTCGAGCATCTTAAATAAGTCTGATTACTGATTTCTGAGCATAGACAAAGTAATATGTTTATAACTGAAAACTGAATCAGCACTTACCTGTCGTCGGCGGGGCGTGAGCATGACGGTTCAGGTTTTTCTGAAAATTTACTGACTGAAAACTTTTCAGAGACGCAGAAACGTGCTCTGATACCAATTGTAACACCCCTCCTTATCGTAAAATCAGAGTGCGAAAATTTCGCAAAGTTATTTAAAAATAAAGCCTTTTTACTTTGCGAAAACTGATTCGGAGTGCTACCTTAAAATCATGACTTAGTTTGGAAAACCGCTATTTTAATTTTTAATAAAATCATACTGATACTGAAACATAAAGTTTTCCAAAAGTCCGGTCAAAATG